CCCTCCCCTTGCCCTCTAGACCCACTGATAACATTCCCTGGGACAGGAGCTGGGTTCATGGCTGGGGCCCTCCCCAAACTGGCAGCTGGAATCAATTCCCAGTGCTAAGTACCTCTCCCCATGGCTCTTCAGCTTAGACATAGCAGTGCTGGCTGGCTGGGCAACTGGAAGAAAGCAAGGCTGGGCAGAGGCCAGTCTGGTGGGGAGAGGGCACTGAGAAGCTCTGCAGGGGTGGCTGGCTGTCCTGGGAGACCTCAGGCCCTGGTTGGGGGGAGTGTCCCCTGGGCCCACACCGGGGGCCATGGCCTGGATGGCAAGATCAGGGAACTTTGAGTTCTGGATGCTAAGGCTTCAGAGCCAAGAAATCCTAGGTTTAAATGATGCTTTTGGCATTTACTCATATGACCCAGGGACAGAGATCTAACATCTCAGAGCCTCAATTTTCTCTTCTGTAAAATGGGAACAGAATACTGATATGCCAGAGCTATAGTGAAAAGTACAGGAGATACGTACAAAGTGGCTGATCCATGAAGGGGGCTCAATAAATCTCTCTCCCTTCCTCCCAAACACCTTGCCCTTCCCTGACAGCACAGTTTAGAGGCAGCACAGTTTCTACATGCTCTCGATGTAGAAACTGGACTTTTGGCAAGCAGCCACCCTCTCAGGAAGAAGTAATAAGCCCCACAATAGGCCTGAGAAAATGGCCTGGCCCTACCCTCAGAATTCTTTATCCATGGCTGAGGCTTGAAATTCCTCTTTTAGAGACTCATTCCTTTGGCTTAGACATTGTTTTCTGTTAAAATTTAATTATTCAGATTCCCACGAAATAGACATCATTGACCCCATTTTATAGGTAAGAAACCTAAGGCTCAAAGATGTGGAGATGTACCCAGTGCACACAGCCCCTCAGTAGTAGAGCTGGGAAAAAGCACCCAGGCCTTCAAAGAGCTCGCTGGTACCAAACAGGGTGGAGAGATGAGACCCTTGAGATTTATCGGCCACTCATACCTCAGAGCAAATCCATTGCAGGTCTCTTTCTAAGCACAGATTTTGGTGATGGAGTGGGTGGGGGGTGGGGGGGAGAAAGGTGATTAGGAGGACACTGAAGGATTTGGGCATTGGGGAAGGCAGAGGGCAACTCTGACCACTTCCCTCTTCTGTTCTGGCCTATTCCTCACCCCAAGAGGTGAGGGCCACGGCAGGGCTGAGGCACAAAATCCTCACCCCTGGGTGTGCTAGAATGGGAGGGCTGAATCCCTGAGCCTTGTTCCTCCAGCTCCCCTTCCGTGTGGGGGGGGGTCTGGAGGAGTCTGTTCCCTCTCCTGCGTGGCAATGGGCCCAAGAAGCCGCAGGCAGAGCAACCCAGCAGGGGGCACAGAGCTGCATGGAGAAGCCAGGTGTGCGCCCATGCAGTTGGTCATGGCATGCTCTGAAACCTGGGATCTCTCTCTTTCAAAGGGCTTGGTACCTGTGAGTGCTGTGCCCCTCCTAGCAGCTCAGGCGCGTTCTCTGCAGGGGAAGGGCTCTCTAGGCGGGGTGGGGCCTCTCAGAGGCCAGCCTCAGCTGCCTCTGTTCTTTTTCTTCTCCCTGCCTCCTACCTGGCTCCCCTGGAATGAGGAGACTGCTTTGGCCTACAGATCAGCTGTGCGTGTAAGCAGTGTGTTGGGGTGGGGGCCGGGAGGAAGGTTGAGCTGACTCTCTGCTTCCACTCATGTCCGTGAGCTCTGTGATCCTTGCCCTGCCACTAGACTGGCCTGGGCAGCCTCGATTCTGTCCGCCAGCCGATGCCCTGGCTCACCGGGCCCCTCCACACTGGAAGTCCCTCCTAGTATCTCGCCCAGGTCATTCCTATTACAACAGGAGATAACCCCCTCCAGTTCTGCCCTGAGACAAGGGCCAGTGTGGAGCATATGTGGGGACATACATCTGTGTGACTTGCCTGGTTAGGCCTGTCCCTCACTGGGCCCATCTCTGACTGGGCCTGGGCCATCCCCTCCTGACTCCTATCTCTGGGCTCACCCCTAGTTTGGCTCCAGTGGGTGGACAGGAGGAGGGTGGCTATAGGTAATGCTAGACCATCAGCCTGGTCACCTCACCAACCTTTAGGTCTGTCTGTTGTACATCAAAGAGACTGAAACTCAGGAATGAGACTCATCCAGCATCACACAGGTCATTTGTACCCAGCAAGGCGGCTGTCCCCTGAGTCATAGGGCCAGACCCAAAGAGAACCAGAGGCCCAGCAGAGGCAGCCTGCCCCGTCCACCAGCACTGGCACCCTCCAACACTGGGCACGCAGCTCTCATTCTGTTTGCCCCCAGCACTAACCCATTCACAGAAGGATGAAACAGGCCCGCAGACTGGGAAATGCACACATCATTCATGGCGTGCCACCCACCGCACTCCAGGAGGCGGCACAGCCACCCCGTGTCTGTGGGCACACACACCAGTCTGCACCAGCCCTTTGCTTTGTGCCCACAGGCAGCTCATCTACCTGCTACAGGAATCTGCACACGTCCCGGCAGCCACTCTCAGACATGCTCACAAGGTGCACACACTCAGTGTGCACTCGGGGCAAGGGAGACGGATGAACTCTGAACCTGTCACATGCTGTCGGCACCTGCTGCTGAGGTCAAACTGCAGCTGAGGTGTCCTTCATGACTCACTGCCCTCCTGTCTCTGGCCCCAGGAGGAGGCAGGGGGATGGGATGGGACCCTGAGCACCAACCTTTGCGCCCACCCAAGCTGGACTGTGCCTGTCTCGGGCGCAGGACCAGGGCCTATGGGTCAGTGTGGCAGGGAGTCAGCCTTTCAGGGGCAACATGTGGCTACTGCTTGATGGGCACTGACTATGTGCCAGGCACTGTTCCCAGCATCACACAGATCATCTCATGGGCTCCTCACAGCCCAAGAGGCAGCTGAGGCTCAGAGAGGCTAAAAGACTTGCCCAAGGTCACATAGACAGTACTTGGGGAGCCTAAATGTATAACCGGGGAGTCTGACTCCAGAATCTGAATCCTTAGCAACTACTGCAAGACAGCACAGCTGCTCCCGGGAGGAGGCGCTCCCTGACACTGGAGGTGACCATATGGGGATCCTGGAGAGGGGGTGTAAGCAACAGAAGGCCTTTTAGCTGTCTTCATCCCATGAGACATCAAGCCACTTCTGGTATATGAAAAATGGAGATATGGAAAATCAGGGTTAGCACAACGTGGTCTGTTCTAATGGCAGTTAGCCTGGAGCCACCTACATGCCGGCGCTGAGCTCATGACGGGGAGCCAACAGTGCCATACAACAGATTTCGTTTCATGGTCCAGCAGAGGGTGGATGTCTTTTTGTGATTGTGGCTCAGAGAAGCTAAAAGACTTGCCCAAGGTCACACAGACAGTATGCTTTTGTGTGTCACTTCATTTGGAGGAACATTAGAAGTCCAAGTAGAAGACCTCTTGGGCACCCCCAACCAGCCCATGGTGAGAGGCCCCCTGAGAGCCTCAGGTTCTGATTCACCACAAGCTTCCCATTCCTGCTCAGGGAGTGTGGCAGGGGGAGGTGGACAGGAATCAGGTCTCAGGCTGCCCCACCTGGCACCCTGCATCGTAACCCCTGGCAACCTGCAGAAGGCTGCATCTATCTCTGCCACACTCTCTGGAGGGGTGAGCATTCTGTGGTCCAAATCAGGAAAAAAATACTTTTTTTGTTGTTTTTATATGTCTTTATTGACTTCAGAGAGAGGAAGGCAGAGAGGAAGAGAGAGAGAGATAGACAGATAGAAACATCAATGATGAGAGTCATTGATTGGCTGCCTCCTGCACGCCCCCCGCTGGGGATCAAACTGGGATCTCCTGGATCATAGGTCAATGCTCAACTGCTGAGGCACGCCAGCCAGGCAAGAAAACAATGTTTTTAACAACAACAACTTTTTAGTGCTTACTCTGCCAGGCACTGTACTACTCACATCTCATTTAATGTACCCAACACCCCATTTTTCAAAAGTGAAACAGGCTCAGAGGTAGGCCTAGTTGAATCACTACACCAAGGTGACACCAGGCTTGGCAGTGGTTGGACATGAAGCAAACTTACAATTAATCCTTCAATACAGGGTTTTGCCCAAAGGCTCTCCAGGGCCTATCTTCCTGGGTGCACTTGATTGGAACCCTGGATCTTAGCTCACTGCCTCAATCTGTGGCCCTGGGTGTCCCAGTCCAGTGTCTGGTGCTCTGAGATGGAGTCAGAATTGGGGAGCTTGGGGTGGGGGCGCTCTCTCTCTCCTGGGGTAGACAGAAGAGGTGTGAACTTTGTCCCCCCAAACCTGGCACGGACCCAGAGCTGCCAGTAGGGCCTCAGGGGCATCATTCCTGGGCTCAGGCATTCCCTGGGCCTCATTTCTCCTACAGCCAATGGCTCCCCTTTGTACTGGGTGTGGCACAAGCAAAGAACAGCTTCTGACTGTTGCCCAAGCCCCAGTCTACTGTCAGCTTCCACGTCGTCTTAGGGTCACAAAAGTCCAAGAGGCCTCCTGGGAATGTGTCACCTTCCAGCGTGGAGTCACACTGGGAGGGGACGTGGGGGGGGCAGCCTCGCGGTGGTTTAAATGGCTGGCTGGCCCCGAGCTCCAGTCAGTTCGGACAGCAGCACAGTGAGCCATCCCAGACCCTCTCTTCCAGCTCCGGTTCCAGAGAGTGTCCAGTGCAGTGAGAGGCTCCTCCAGCCCAGTGAGCGGCCCAGGATGTTCCTGAAGGCTGCGGTCGTGATCCTGGCCCTGGTGGCTGTCACTGGTGAGTAGAAGCTGCCTTTGGATGGGGCTTGCAGGCAAGACCCATTTGCTGTATGGAGCGGGGCAGGGTGAACGGTCTGCGGCCCAGGTGAGAGGGCAGCTGTGAGTGCCTGTCGGCCCCTCGCTGGACATAAGGGCCGCCCAGTTGCCGCCTGGCTCACGGGAGAGCTGGCCTCTCCACAGCTGCAGCCCCACTGGCATTGGTGCTACGCCAATTTCATATGCCCAGCATCACCCAGTCTGCAGCGCAGGCTGCTGGGGAGGAACAAGGAGGAGGCTGGTCCTCAGGAACTGCTCTGTTTCCTGCCCAGGTACTCGGGCTGAGGTCAACGCCGACCAAGTGGCCACCGTGGTGTGGGACTACTTCAGCCAGCTGAGCAGCAATGCCAAAGAAGCTGTGGAACATCTCCAGAAGTCTGAGCTCACTCAGCAGCTCAAGTAAGAGGGGCACAGCCTGCAGGGCAGGGCTATGCAAAGGCCCACACTGCATCGCTAAGGGCTCAGCTCAGAGGCAGACCTGCTGCCTGCTGCCCTCTGGCCTGATGTCGGCTCCTGGATGACCCTGAGGTCTCCGGAGCTGGAATCCACATGTGTAAACCGGAAGGTTGGACTGAGGAATCCCTAAGGTGTCTTCCTGCTTGAACTTTCAGACTGTGACAAATGGCCGCACCTTAGCCATGAGGCTCAGGACAGAAAGGGAGGGAGGGAAATGCCCTGGGAGCTGGGTTCTAATACATTCTGAAAGGACAGGTCCCTGTGGAGTCAGAGGAAAGGAGGTGGGGATTTCTGGGAAGCTCTGAGGGTGGGCACATGCAAGGACACCAGCATCCGTGTCCCTAGAAGACACTGGAAGAATCCAGAACATAGTATTCTGAGAGAAGGTGATCTGTGCCACAGCGCAACTCAGAGGGAGGGACCTCGGAGTCGTCTCATACAACAGGGAGAGGAAAGCAATCTGTCCAAGGTCACACGCTGTGACTCAGACCCAGGGGGAGATTCAGAGACACATATTCAGCTCAGCCTGGTCTATTACACCCCTTCTCTCAAACCATAATCCGCACAGGCCAAGGCGCAGAGGAGAGGCGGGTGAGCCGGCACCCTGCACACGCCCCGTCTGTGGCAGGGGCCGGGGCCTCTGAGGTGGGTGGGCTAGGTCAGGCAGCAAGGTCCTGGAGGAATGCCAACTGTAACCTGACCCCTCGCTCGCTCTTCCCGCAGCTCCCTCTTCCAGGACAAAGTCAGCGAAGGGAGTGCCTACGCGGATGACCTGCAGAAGAAGCTGGTGCCCTTCGCCACCAGTGTGCACCAGCGCCTGATCGAGGACTCGGAGAAGGTGAAGGAGCAGGTTCAGAAGGAGCTAGAGGGCCTGCGGGCCAAGCTGCAGCCCCACGCCGAACAGGTGAGCCAGAAGATTGGGGACAACGTCCGCGAGCTGCAGCAGAGCCTCCAGCCCTACGCCGACCAGCTGCGCACCCAGGTCAACACCCGGGCGGAGCAGCTGCGGAGCCGGCTGAGCCCCCTCGCGCAGCGCATGCAGAGCGCGCTGCGCGAGAACGCGGACAACCTGCAGGGCTCGCTGGAGCCCTTCGCCGAGGAGCTCAAGGCCACGATCAACCAGAACGTGGAGGAGCTCAAGGGGCACCTGACGCCCTTCGCCGACGGGCTCAAGGCCAAGATCGACCAGAACGTGGAGGAGCTGCGCCGCAGCCTCGCGCCCTACGCGCCGGGCGCCGAGGGCGAGCTCGGCCGCCAGCTGGAGAGCCTGGCCTTCCAGATGAAGAAGAACGCGGAGAAGCTGAAAAGCGAGCTCTCGGCCAACGCCGAGGAGCTGCGCCGCAAGCTGGTGCCC